AGTGACACCACCTTCTGGGCAGGGGGAGCACAGCTGCTTGGGTGTGACACACCCAAGCCACCATGGGAAGCAGAGCTCTTGGCTGTGGTCTGTTTCCTCAACTTAAATTAGAAGGGAGGCAGGAGGGGTTGGGGGGTGGTGCGAGAAGGTGGCACTGAGCTGATGAAGCAAATTGCCTTAGTTGCTGTTTGTGTGAGGGGCCTTTACTGCCACTTGAAGACTGAGCCATTGAGATGGTTGGTTCCACAAATGGGATTTAAAGAAGCTTCTCTGCCCAGTTGTTGAAACTGCAGCCTCTGACCCTTTAGGGTGGAGAAGAGTTGGCCACTAGCTTCTGGAGTGAGGGCTCCTATGTGGTATCACTCTCCTAAGGGCCAGCATCTGTTGAGAAGGTGCCCCTCACTTCCTGTTGGGATGGCTGTCATTTCAACCATTGTTTTTTCTTTCGTGGCAGGTTTGGTGTCTACGTCCCTCTGTGCTGCTTCCACCAGGACAGCAGAGCACAGCCTCTACCTGCAGACTGTGGATACTTGGTACAGGACCAGGTGGCAGATGATGGGGCTTCAGCTGTCAGCAGCCTGGTCAAAGATTTCTTCTCGCTTCTGTGGGAATCCCTGAGAGAACAGTTCAATAATCCTACGTCTATCCCCACCCACAGCTGCCCCCTTTCCCCAGATCTCATCCGCAATGAGGTGGAGTGCCTAAAAGCAGACTTCAACCGCAGGATCAAGGAAGTTCTCTTCAACTCTCTCTTCAGTGCCTACTACGTGGCATTCCTGCCACTGTGTTTTGTGAAGGTAGCTGTTGTCTGGCTCTCCCTGTGCCCCTGCCCGCCGTCTCCTTCTGACTGTTGTGTGAACTGCTGCCAGGCCAGATTCCTGGTTAATTCCCCTTTTCTCTGTCTCCCCTTTGGCAGCCCGGATAGCGGAGCATGGCTGCATCCGGAGTGCACTAGTACTGCTCCTGGTTGGCAGATAGGTATTGCCATAAATGTGATGCACCTCTAGTCCCATCACCCCACTTACTAACTCCCCTTCTCCCACCCCCTGTCCTAGGCAGATGGATAGCTGTGTTCTTCCTAGAAAAGGGAGCCTGCCGTTACCTGTCTCAGATCCAGCATCTTGCCTTTTGAGTGCTTGGATCAGAGACTTTGATGGTCAGGCTATTAGAGCCAACTAGGATGCTCAGCAAGCTAAACCCAAGAGCCTCTTGTCAATGTGCGGGTTATATATTTTCATCTGTCGTTTTTTTAACTTGGACAAGCTCCTGTTGGTGCAGAAAACGGGCAGGGCTCCATGTAGCAGTCTTGGTGCAATTGGTGCTCCTGGGGCAGTTCTGTGACAAGCAAACTGCCTTGTTACCTGTTCCTGGAGGAGAAGATGCACCAGCTGCAGCATCATCCCCTGCCCTTTCTCCTTCAGGTCAAGGAGAAGGGAGTCTTGAGTGTCTCCTAAGCTGTAACCCTCCGATATCACTGGTCCAAAAGCGCATGCCTGTAACGTGTGGTGTGGGTCTGCTGGATGCATACGCAGTATGTCCCTTGTCGTTCCTTTGTCTGTCTTGTGACAGTGGTGCCAAGTTCTTGTCTGGTCTCTTTGCAGAGCACCCAGTACTACGACATGCGCTGGTCCTGTGAGCACCTCATCATGGTGTGGATCAATGCCTTTGTCATGCTCACCACTCAGCTGCTGCCTCCCAAGTACTGTGACCTGCTCCACAGGTCAGCCGCCCACCTTGGAAAGTGGCAGAAACTAGAACACGGTTCCTACAGCAATGCTCCACAGCACATGTGAGTGTGGGCATGGGGAGGGGTTGGCATGCCTCGCAAAGGGAGGAGAAGACATTCTAGTAGAGGAGCAAATACCACCAGTGCATATCTACTGAGAACACTTCTGCACTCCCCATGCAATTCTACTGGCCTTACTGTTCCCTGGAAACAGAAACGTCTGCTCTAGAGAGCTGTCTGAGCTCCTCCAGTCACTGCTGGCTCCTTCCCAAAAAGGAAGGCTGACATTCTTCTTGGCCAGTGGAGAGTATCTTGTGCAGGGGTGGGGGGAGGCCCCCTTCCATGCAGTGGATGAAGGTTCTTGCACTGGGAGTCATTTGTTCACATTACTCAGAGTCCATTTGATGGGCTTGTGATCACGTCTCTCTGCTTTTCCAGTAGGAGCTAGGACATGTCCCTGTGGCAGAGGCTTTGGTATTTTTCAAGATGCAGTCCATTCCTGTGAACCCTTATCCAAGGAGCTGGGAGCACAGATGCTAAAGCTCTGGCATTCTCTCCCCACAGCTGGTCAGAAAACACAATATGGCCACAAGGAGTTCTGGTGCGACGGAGCCGATGCCTGTATAAAGCAGTTGGGCCTTACAACGTAGCAGTGCCTTCAGATGTGTCCCATGCCCGCTTTTACGCAAGTATCTCTTCTCTTGCTTGATGCCTTAGGACTGTGGGAGGGAGGAGAGGCTCAAACATAGCTGCAGCAGAGCAGCCCGTGGAGAACAGAGTTCAGTGCTGCGCGACAGCCTGTTGCTGCTAAACAAAATACCTGTTAGCAGCAGAGGGGTTTTCCCCTTCCAGTATTACAGTGACCTCTGGGCAAGATGGAAACCACAGCTGCCTTGTGAGTGTTTTCTCATCAAGGTGACACAGCTCTCTCATCAGACAGTGGCATATTCCCAAGAGGGTTTTAGTTAACATCGTTCAGGGAAACAGGAAAGTACATCAGGAGGCCAATTGGTTATCTCGCCTGTCCTCCCCTTCTCAAGCAAAATGCCACTTCTACATGCCACCTCTTATTCTGTTTTCCCTAAGTAGCAGCTGGTGGTGGCTGGAGTACAAGCATTTCTTCTTCAGTGGTGCCTGCCAGCATTATATACATAGCCCTCCTCCCTTTAACCCTGCAACAAATTACAGAAATCTGTCCTTTTTAACTGTTTCCCTGCAGTTCCTTTTCCACCGTCCATTACGGCTGCTCAACCTGCTGATCCTCATTGAAGGCAGTGTGGTTTGCTACCAGCTCTACTCCCTGCTGCGCTCAGAGAAGTGGAACCATACCCTCTCCATGGCCCTCATCCTTTTCTGCAATTATTATGTCTTATTTAAGCTCCTCCGGGACCGGATAGTATTAGGCAGGGCATACTCCTACCCACTTAATAACTATGGACTCAAGGCACACTAGGCCGGCCAAATGTGTACCCCTTCTCTTTTTCTTCCCACAGGGCAGGGAGGGAACCTCAGAAAAAAAAAAAAAATATTTTCGTACAGTTCTATTTTTTTCTTGCGGCGTTTATAAATATTTAAAATATTTTATATTTTGTATACTATTGTTTTTGTGGGGCGGGAAGGGAACCAGTGGCAATTAAATGTCGCTTTATAAACAAGGTGTTATTTTATATATATAAAAACCAAAAAAAAGTGGATGTGTATATACCGTATATCTATACCCATACATATATCTATGTGAAGCAACAGGATTGTGTGTGTGGTCACTGTGTCTGCTTCGCTCACAGAACTGCCCTGCCCCTGCATACTGTGGGGACAGAACTGCTGTTAATTAGGAACAGCAGCTCTGCTCTAGAATTTGGATACACTAACAGCCAGGGGAAAAAAAGAAAACACTGGGGCCTTTCACATAGATAAGTAAAGTTTATTTTGGTAACCTCACTACCAGGAAAGTCTTGCATTGAAAATGTGCACTGATGAGATACGTTTAGGCAAAGGCAGGAAGCAGTGTGTGAAAAGAGTGACTAAGTTACTGTCAGTCAGTAAAAACTCTCAGTTCTTTCTTCCCACTGTTAGCAGGATGCAAGTATTATTTTTTAAAAATAATGAACTATTTACTTTAGCCTCTCTCCTCCCAGCAACTTGAGCTCCCTCTCTATCCCAAGGGAATGAACTAAACATTCAAATCATAATTTTAGGGTAGTAAATAATTTCCGAATGGATTTGAAATAGATTCATCTAGCAGGATGGTAATTGAATATTTTAGACATCCATCTCTGTGCCCTCGAGCAATAGCATAGAATTAGGAATATTCAGCTATTTTCTTCAAGCAGTACTGTTCCTTGCAGAAATTTATTCTTGTCAAACATTTACAACCTCCCTTATTGCTAAGCAGTATTACCACCTCCCTTATTGCTAACATTTCAGCAGCGTTTCACTCTAAGGTATGTTGACAGTGTTTAATAACTTATGGTTAATAACAGAGGAAATACTTTCCTTTTAAACCGTTCCTCATAAAGCTAAACTGTACTAGAATCTAGAGAACAAACATTTTTGGCAGTATCACAGAGGAATTAAAGGTCAAAGACAGTGTCAACCATATAATTATTTAACTGTGGATGCTGGTGACAGCTGATGGTAGGAGTTGATGCTTTAACTCAGGTAATTAAGGAGATGGTAGAGCAAGTTCTTCCATTCAGATGCCATCTGACTTAACTTCAGCCATTAGTAAAGAGCTAGCTATGGTTAAACAGTGGATAGGTATGGGGAAAAAAAAACCAAAACTCTACTGAGTTTGGGAGAAACTGCAACTACTTTCTGCTGCTTCTTTCCTTCCAAGCAACATAAGAACTCAGTGATCTCTGCTCCTGTCTGTAGGGCAGCTCCTCCAGCAGCCTGACCACAAGCCCAGGATACCTGATAAGGTAGGCAACAGGAGATGCCTCTGAGCATTAACCCCAAGCTACCCTGAAATGAACACAAATGCTTAGGTTTAGTTGCTCCTAGGCCTTTTCTTCTTTCATGTGGCCCTAGTGCTGCTGGCAGGACACAGGTACTCATGAACCTACAGCCTGAAGCCTTTCAATAAAACACAATACTGTGGCTTAGAGCCATGCCATGCTTTATGTAGCAATCCATGTCTTAATTCTACCGTGATTACTTCAGGAAGTACTTTTGGGATAAGAGAAGGCTGGCATCTTATCCAGAGCAGGCTCTTTGCTGCATGTGGCTTTGTGCAACACTTTCTTGCATCCAGCCTCAACTTTTGCAGCAGTTCAGTAGCATTTCCTACAGATTTCAGCTGTTTCTAATAGCTGCCTCAGCACTCTTAGTGCTTTCTCTGCATTATCAAGTAGTTTCTTCTGTTTAGACATCTAAATGATAGTAGGCTTATACTTAAGCAACCAGTGGGAGAAAAGAGACTCTCCAGGTCTTAGCTTGGGAAATAGAGATGTGCAAAGGAAAGCCAGAACCCTGAAACAGGGTTTTGAGTCGGAGTTAATGAGGGTTCCTGCTCTGATTTTTCCTTCCCCTCCATGCAAGGCTGAAGGCAGGCAGGACTCTCGGGCAGTGAGCACACCCACAGTATGAGGGACAAGCACAGCGGCACTTCCGTACCTACGGGATTTCTGCTTTGCTCTGAGGGACTAAGTACAGGGCCAAAACAAACACTGCCTGATTGCAGGTGTGTTAAGAGCCTCCTCATTCCAAGAGAGCTAAGCATTATTCGCTGCCCTTCCCCTTCAAAAACAGGACCTTTGTTATATCCTGGAGCAGGATATAACAAAGTCCATTGGAAGGTTTAAGGCCTAGAGATTGTACCTTTCCATGTACAGTAGTATGAACTACCTGCATGCAGTCCTGTAGTGCAATTGTCTTCCATCTGTACACAGGACCCCTACGTGGGAAGAAATTGTAGAAGATAGTTGCAGCTTCCCCTGCAAAAACAAAGCAAGGAACTAGCACAGTTGGTCTCCCCAGTATAAACTAGGCCATCTGACAAGCAGGGAGCAGAAATTGCTTAGATCAGTGGTTTGTCCCCATTCCTCAAATGAGCCTGCTACTAAGCCTTTCAGATGAACATTGAAAACAAGTCCACTCTTAATACTTGGTCAGGTCAGACTAGGGGAAAAAAAAGACTTAATCCCCAACTTGGTCACTCTATCATGCGAGGATGTCATAATAAATGGATGGTTTTTTGGTCTGGGAACGGAACTGCTCCAGCTTTAGGCCAATCCTCAGAAGAACAGCTTCATCCCACCATTTTGCCATGACCTGGGAGAAGATGAGAGAAGCAGAGAGTGAAAGGAGGGGAAAAAAACCCAACAAAGTAGCATCATCACATGTAAACACTCTTGAAAGCCCCAGAATACATAACAGAAAACAGAATTTCCCTCCCACCCCCCCAACAGCACAAAAAGACAAGTTTTCCCCTTTTACCCCAGTAAGTATGACATCACTGCATTTGGGATAAAGGCAGCTGTGTGACTTCCAATTGCAAGACAGGGACCTTTCCATTACATAAGACCCATTTCAAGAGGGAAGGACTTAAAGGAAATGAGAAATAAGAGAGGAAAGAGTAGTGACAAATATTGGGTACTGATGCAAGTAGCCAAGGAAAGAAATCTATCTCAAAGATACCTGAAGAGTCCCTCTGCCCTTCAGGAGTGAGTTACTCTGAGGCAAATCACCCACAAGTTAAAACTTCTATTTCTAGTAGCTGCCAACTCCTCAAATGAGCTGTGTGGAACAGCAGGAACCTGGTTATAAGTGGTTCAGGACAACTCCAGCTGGGGATTCTGTGACCCAGTTTTCAACAAAAATCCAGTACTTGCCTGGAGGTTGATAGGAAGCCCAGCAGTAGAATATCCAATGGGGACCACAATGCCTGGTATCCCAGTGAAGTTACCAAGCTGCATGAACCTGGGGGGAAAAGTTGTAATCAGCATTCTTGACTTGGGACAGGAGCAAATTCATCCTTTTTTGGGAGAGGCAGCTAGCATCAATCTCTCCTGCCTTACAGCCTGAGCTTCTTCAGTTGGTGCAGCTAGTCTCCAGCTGTTCCCAAACTTTTGTTTGTGTACTGCAAGTAACATTGTTCTTACCTCATGGACCGGACTGTGAAGGACATATCGCTCCTCCCAGTCAAGAGGTCAGATTCATAAATTCTTGGGGCAGTGCAAGGAACAGCTGTGGAGGAATCACAAAATGACTGTAATGAAAAGGGACCTCAAGAAGTCATCCTGTCTAACCTTTCTGACTCAAGAATGGTCAGCTAGCTCAGGTTTCCCAGGACCATGTCCAAATGGCTTTTGAATATTCCCAGGGATGAAGATTCCACGGGCTCTCTGGGCAATCTGATACAGTGCTTAAAGAGCAAAAGAAGAGTCAGACAGTGGGCAATCATTAAAGAACAGCTCAGTTCACTAAAGCCACATGTTTGATATCACAGTGGTGATGCAAACTCATGCAAGTTGCTGGGATTTATGAATAAAGCAGTTAGCTTGTATTTAGAGCAATTACACTGCATACATAAGTACATATCCAGTCCCTCCTGTGCATATGTGCCAGCTCTATAGCTCCTGTCTCAAGCACCAAGGGGGAATTTGTCACTGCCACGGATACAACCAGTAAATCTAGAAATACACAGCAGTTTTTCTAACCAGGCTGCATTATCCTCTAAAGGCTTGAGGCACAGCAAAGTATTTGCACAGAAGTCATACTCTTAAAAATTGAGGTGGGAAAGTTAATGGAGTGACTGTTCTTAAAAGGCACCACAGAGCTGTTGGGGACTGGCTCTTTGGCCAAGAATGGCAATACCTGGTGTAAGGATACAGTTCACAGTGCTGAAGATCTCTCGCAAAAATCCCATGCTTCGAGTTCTCTGCCGATTTGCCTGCAAGCAGAGAGAACAGTGTCTGACCAGAACCTCTTGGGTCACGAGGCTCATGTTTGATGTTGACAGACTGCCCATTAGAGCCTCTACCTTTGCAAGACACTGTTCCTGCAATCTGGAATCACGATGCAGGACAGGTGGCATGTCCTCTGTGGTGCCCCACCATTCAGCATGCTTTCACAGCTGAGAGCAGTTAGAGCTGGGTGACATCTTCTGGGTGTATGGGGAAGTTAAGCCTCTACCCCACCTGTAAAATTTCACTAGGTACCTCCCTTCAGCCTTCACCACACTGTGTTCCTTACCGTAATATAATCCAGAGCTGTGAACTGGCAAGCCAAGGCCAGGTTAGCCCGAGTGTCCAAATTCTGAAATAAAAAACACTGATCAAGGTTCTGCTTGCAAGAAACTGAATTGTGACAGCCCAGGAGTTCTCTTCCAGGTCTGTTCTCCTGTACTGGTAGTCATCCAACAGGTAGTTTGTCATAGAAGAAGGAGAGCCTCAGGTTTCTCACTGACATGATATTTGTGCTGCATCAGCCCAGGACAACTACTGCCATTGCTCCAAGCTGCTACTACTTACCATTTCCTGGAAATGTTTATTGAAGTCAGGTTGCAGGAAGTCTCTCATCTCACTGAGAATGCAGATTACATGTGCTACTCGAGCTTCCTCCATCTCTGGAAGAGAGACTTCAACCACACTGGCTCCCAAACTCTGCAGGTGCTCCACCGCTGTGTACAGAACAGGTAAAGCACAAACAGCATCCCTGAGTTCACCAGGCTGCACAGAAGGGCTGCAAATCTCCAACCCCTTGCCAAATTAGAGACCCCCACAGGCCACAAGCACCTTCAGTGCACCACGTGGCATGCAGGCTGCTGCAGCTGCTTCTCACAGGTAAAAGCTTAAGGAGATTTCAGTATTCCAACGGGGCAGGGGTAGGGGCTTGCCCACAGGTTCTTAACTTAGCAGCTATAGGACAAGTTCACTCTCCCTCCAGCCCCTCAGTTAAGCCAAAGAGTAAAGGGTGGACTGCCAATGCTTCCCTGAGCACTTCACATGACCGCTATTCTATCAGCATGAAGTGATTATTTAGCACCATGAGATTTCCATTCAGAGCTTCTTCTGAACCATAATGGTGGAGGAACCCGGGAGATAGTCGAGAGACCAGGTCAACAGTACAGGGTCACTAAATCCTGATGCATTTTAACAAGGCTGAACACCAAAGCTTTAGGAAAAGTGAATCTTTTGCAGTCTAAAAAGAATCCTTTCTTTGACCCCAACTTATTCATAAATACATACCCAAGCTTGCCTATTTCACTGGCCTATGGTGCAGCTCTCCTAAGAAAATACTATAGAAGTGTGTCTTTGGAAATAAGGAGGCTGAAGAAAATCCAGGCAAAGCCTGAATACTGTGAACTATCTCAGCTCCAATGCACAGGAGGCCAACTACTATACCAACCATTGTAGCCCTTCTCCCCCACCCCCAAATACTCTCCAGGGTCAATTTTACTTAGTCTAAACTCTGACAAAGCCACTCTAAAGGCACCATTTGGCTGCTTTCAAGGAAATGCCACAGGACTGGATACATCACAAAGACTTAGCACTGTCTTACTATTGAGTATTATGTTGTGAAACAAGGCCCTCCCTTAAAAGTCTTTTACCATTAAAGCTTGCAGAGTAAGTATTACTGAGCACAGATCTGTCTTTATACAGACAGAGGCTGAGCACACTGGACTGCATTCTTCCATTGTAATCCGACAAGCCTACAACCGCTGAGATTTTTAACCCTCAGCAGTCAGGAGGGCTTCCCCAACACAAAGCTACTGCTGTTTGTCCAGCCAGACCCCTTTAAGCAACTGTCTTTAAGGACTTGAGGAGAGGTCTTTTTAATGCATACACAAAAGGAGCACCAAGTGATACCATAACATCAGGCAGAATAAGAGACTTACAGACTTCTCCTCTTTACCTTTCTCGCAGATGGACAGGACTTCAGCATCACATGCCTAAAGAATAAGAGGAAAGAACTAAGTAGACTTTAATAAGTGCCCTCCTCTTGGTGAGCACACTCACCAGGACTCTGGTCCTTATGATGCCTTCCTCGTTCCTGTCCCTAATGGTAATGAAACAGCCTTCCAGACTGCCTTAGGCCACCTGCTCCAAGAGAACAGCTTGCCGCTCACACCCCAAGGAAAAGGAAATATCATCTTTTCCTCCTCTGCACAGTGGCAGAGCCAGTAAGTCTTTTTTTTTACCTCCAGGGAAGAATCCTGAGAACATTTGTGGGGTTGCATTACAATTGCCAAGCAGTACTAGCTTGCAAGCCCAGTTTCCACACTGGCACTCAGCAGCTACAGCATTGTCACCAAGCAGATACACTAATTTTCCTCATTTGATTTTAAACTAACTGCCATTCATAATGAGTTCAGAATCATTTTCTCCAATAGAATCAGCAGTGTGAGGAAGCATACTGCCATCAACTGTAGTTATTACCTTTGCTCATGTCTCCAACAGACTTTTCAAAAGGCTGCCTTAGAAAAAAATTTACCCATGTTGCTGTTTTCACACAGGCTATATTATCTTCTAACTATGGACTAAATATGAGAAGCTCTAATGATGACAGACAAGAGAACATCGTATTCCTTTAAAATCTCATTTCGCAAAGCAGCAGAGTGAGATAGAATAGGCACCTTAAAAAATGTCCAGTCCACTCCCAGATTTAAGCCTTTCAGGTCAGGAGCACACATATCAGATAGGGTTGCTTTGGGCTGTTTTAGTCCTGCAGGGAACAAAGAAGAGTTCCTCCTTTTAACTAGGATGCCTCTAGGAAGACAGAGCACCTGGGTTCAGGGATGGAGAGGGCTCACCTACCATATGGATAGAGTGGATCTGGTTCAGCAAGGATACTGTAAACAATGGCTGCATCTGCCACTGACGTACAGATAGGGCCTGTAAAAGACAGATCAGTTATAAAAATGTGACAAGGTAAATATACCTTCCTCCCAAGATGATTTGTAGGTACAGATTGCCTCCCCTGTGAGAAGACCACATCAAGGTCCCTGAAGTGGAGCACAAGTCCTCTTACCTATGCTGACTGTGGAGTAGGAGAGTGGCAAGCTGCCATGACAACTGATGCGCCCAAATGTACCTAGAAGAACAAGAAAAGGGCAGTTAGCTAGATATCAGCAGTCACAGGGAAAAGCTGACCAGATGGCTCTGGTGCACCCAGTCAGTAAACAATCTAGCCCTGCCAGTCACTTTTATGTCTGCTGTTTCAGGGTCCAGTCACTCATCCTTCAGTATCCTGTTCTGCTGACCGTGATCTGACTCATCAGTGAAACAGATGCATTCAGTAAATAATGAAATGGGTTTTGCCCTAAGAAATTATTTAGTTGAGGGGAAACATGCAGGGACATTTTGGAATATACACATTTAAATATGCAGAAGCAGCATTTATGGTATGGAGGATGGAGATGCAGGAACAGGATTATCAACAGCAGCAGACACCATCCCATGGGAGATGTCACCCACTTCACCAGTGAGACTTCATGCCTAACGCCAGTTGTCTTCTGAGAGTACTTGTATCGTCTTTTTGACCAGTTACATTTTTGTCATCATCGTTATCTTCCTCAGATGAATCACAATTAGTGAAGTTGACCACATGCAAAGGATGGAAAGAGAGTAATGGCTGAGTATCTGGTCTCAGATGAAGCAGCTGAGATACTTCAGCATGATAAACCATTCCCAAAAGCCAGCATCTCTTCCAAGTGACAACCCTGCCTTACCATGCTCCATGCTGTAGACACTGCCCTGTGCATTTCTTCTGTCCTCTGCACATTTTCCTTGATTATATTAATTCTTACTGCAAAAACTGCATTGTTACTCCTTGTAACACTGAGATAAGAGGGAATGGCTACATCCTGGTTTCACACAAGCGTATTACCAGGTTTAACTTTCCAGATACAAATCTGAGCAGCATTAGCCTCTCCATATAACTGGGGTGATGGCAACCTATCATGAGTAGAGATACTTTTCACCAGCTCAATACAGATACTCAACTATGCTGGGAACACCTCCCAGCACAGAAAGAAGAGTGAAGAGGGGCAAGTGGATGAAAATAAAAAGCAGCATGCATACTTTGTTTAGCATTTGACTTAAGTAAGTTAACTTAACTAAGCTGAACATCTGTTCAATAGCCAGTACAGAGAATAATTCGATGCTGCCAGCTTAACCCGCATGCCTCCTGGGGTATTACACTCCAGAGTTTCTCTGGTCAAGTTTTACTTGACAGGAATTAACAGACTGTGCCCAACTTGTTTGTGGCATTATGTCTGAAACACCAACCAGACAAACACACCCCCCTCCATGATTAAACAGCTCTACCTTTCAGCCCCACCACACCACAGAATGAAGCAGGAATCCTCACAGAGCCTCCTCCATCTGTGCCAATAGCCACTGGGCAGAGACCTACAAAAAACCCACACATTAGCCTGTGATCAGAGAGACATCATTTTGCCCTGTCCATTCTACCAGCAGCTGTAGCCAAGACAGCACAGAGAGCTCTCTGTTTAGCCAGGAGTTCCCTCCAGCTTCTAAACCCCCTCATAAAAACTAAATGCCTGAGGTCCCTTGGCTCAGGACTTTCCTCCCACCACCTCTGAGCTCCGTGTAGGACCACCTACCTGCTGCCACAGCTGCTGCTGACCCACTGGAGCTCCCACCTGTGAAGTGGTTAGGCTTGTAGGGATTCCTAGGGATCTTGTGGTACCTGAAGTAAAAACAAAGAGCGTTTAATCTTTTCCTAGGAAGGACTGCGTGCACTACAGTGCAGAAAAAGATCCAGAAACACAGCTCAGAGATTCTGATCTCTTGGTAAAGAGACATCATTTAATCTCAGAAAGAGCCCTGTCCCTAGAAAATAGAATGTAAAAAAGACTTCTGCCTCACGAGTACAACCTCGTTAGTGTAAGCAGCTGATCCAAAAGAGACAGACACAAGGCAAGAGAAAAGATGCTGCTCCAGCTCTTCTGTCTGCAGTGGCATCATGCCATTACTGCATGCCACAGGGCATTAAGCAATTCCAAAAGGTAGAGCAGTTGATGGCCAGCAATCCTTACAGATAAGCAAGTCATTATCCCCAGCTCTGCCCTTTATCTCAGAGCAGCAGCTCCCAAAGTCTCCAATCTGACCACAGCCTCCAGACACCAAGAGGTCTGGCACTTGGCTGGGTAACCAGCAGACCTCACACAGTGAGGAAATGCCCTGGCTCGCTGTTGCTGCAGAGGGGGAGCCCTAGTTCCATCTAGCTGCATGTGCATGAAGTGTGGCTCTACATAAGGCTTATCAAGGCTCTGGAATTGCAGTTCTCATCTTGGCTACAGTGAAGAATTCTCAACAGTAAAGCAAATTCCAGTGAACCTCTTTTAGCTAGGAAACAAAACCACTGCGTTCTGAGACGACTGTACCTTTTTCTCACTGTTCTGGGCCTTCAGCCATTACTGTGGCTGAGCATTACATTACTATTTATTTGTTTTCTGTCATGGCTTTTGTCTACCATTCATCCTATAAATATTCACACCTCCAGGCCTGTAAGGCCTGGCAAACCAAGTTCCTTGCTCAGCAGACAACACTCAGATCCTCTCCTTCCTTTGGTTTCAGGAGCCTTCAGGCTTCCACAGCTACTCTGACCCTCTAATCTACAATGCTGGGTTTTCATACTCCCAGGGTTCTCTCTGTATGGGGTGTTTCCATCAGTTTTATTCTCACATGCTTGCCCTTATTTTTGTATCCTTCCCAGTTCTGGACAGTCCCATAGGTATTTCTAGACTGGGGGAAGAGAGAGGAAAGGGATTTTTACCTATTAGGGTTGCATCCAGTTGTTCCAGTCCCTAGTTCATGCATGTTTGAGACCCCAATAATTATAGCCCCAGCCTCTCGCAACTTCTTGGCCACAGTAGCATCTTCTGTTTCTGGCTCTGTCCCAAGATACACTGTTCCCGCTCGGTGATGGTAAGGTACCTTAGCAAGAACACACCTTATTATTCATTCCAAAACCCTGGTACAGTGCACACATGCACATAAAACCCTGTGCATGCTGCACATGCACACTTCAACACCACAACAGATCCCAGACATTGGGACCCATGGAGGTAAGGGCTAGGAAGCATCACTCTTCAGCTTGTCCTGTTTTGGTCTCTGTTAGGAGGGACGCCTAACCCTGCAATATTTGGTCCTTCTCTCATGCAGAGGAGTCCTTTTTATATTGTGATACAGCAGAGCAGAAAGACGTAGATGGTCTTAGTCTGCCTCCCTGCAGCAATGTGATTGCTATGCCCAGAGGCTGCAGAACAATCACCTTGGCCCCACAGCTCCTTGTTCCATGTTTCTATGGACAGAGCTACAGCAATTCAGATCTGCAGTGCTTTGAAACAAGGCATCAAGATTAGTCAAATGCCAAAATACCAGATGGACTTATTTCCAGGGTATACTAAGAACTCTTCACTTCGAGGCAGCAGTAGAAGAATCTGTACATAAACAGGACTCCCACCCTACAGGTAGGTCTCTGCAGAGCCTACGACAGCCTGATGGCACTGCCAGGATAATTTACTGGTAACTATTGTTGGATCACAGGTAAAAATCCTTGTCAGTAGGGAATTTCAAAATAATTGCATATTTCTGACACATATGTTTTAAGGTAAGGAGAGAGGGATGCTTTGCCAGTGGAGCAGAGTCAGCGCCCGAGAAACACAGACAGTTACACCCACCACTACAGATGCTTTTATACTTTCTCATTTCATCATACGACAAACTGCTTCCCACACCCACACTCTACTCCCTATGGATTCAAGAGATAGGTACAAGATATGGAACACGTCTGCTGTATGCAAGATCTGTCTTCAGCTTGCAAAAATTGTTAATCCTACTCATTGCAAACCCACATACTACCCCTCATTACAAACATATTCTCAGGCTTCTGCTGAGGAGTTGGCCTTAAAACCTTGTTGCAGTGAGTTGCCCAGGTTGACCACCTGCAGCACGAACTGGCAGCTAGACAAGGAAACTCACCACTTTGAGCTCTTCTTTCAGACACACTGGGATGCCATCCAGATAAGACAGGGTACATTTATTCCTGTAACGAGTAGTGGAGGCCTCAGCCATCTGCACAGAATAAAAAATCACCATGTGTTATATACACTTAGCTAAGCTGAAGGTCATCACCAATCTCAGAATGGATACCAAAAATGACTTTCTCAGGCTTTTAGTAAGCCAAATTATCAAAGTTTCTTTCTTCCACCATATGCTCGTGAGAAACTACTACTTGGAAGCATCTGTGCTAATGGATGCCACATAAGCACAGAAGTCCTGTTATAAACATAGTCATCCAGCAGAAACGGATTGCTTTAATGCTACCTCTCTTTGCAGGAAGGAAAACAAACTTGTTTGTAATCCTCTAAACACAGAAGAAGGAAAAATGTACTTATTTTGCTGTGCAATGTATCAGCAGAAGAGCCTCTAACCCTTCCAATGGATACTACTGCTCTTGGGGTGGCAGAGGCCCCTTTCCTACCAGAGGCAGACATTACCAGCATTATTTGCTCCCGGTCCCATTGCACTATTGCTCTGAGCGGGGGCGTGGATTTGTCGCAGTCCTCCAGCATGGCAATGATGTTCTTGGCTACCTGAGATGGCGTCAGCTTCCCACTCCTACAGGACAGAAGAAGTTGGGACCTTGTTACAAGACCTCCCCACACCACATCCACACACAGGGTTTGTTTCCCATACAGCAACATGGCAGCTGTCACAGGTGTAAGCAAGAACTAGGTAAGAATCTCTGCAAGGTGATGATTTCAACACGGTTGACACCATCAAGACAGGAGATTCCCTTCCTTAAGGAGGGGATTTGCCTACACAGCATGTCCCCAGCCCTTAGAGTAGGGCAAGAGTTAGGAGAGTTACCACATACTCCTGAATCACCAAATAACAGAGATGAACAGGTGACAGCTTTACAGAGTTCTCAAGCTCCTGAAAACTTGAAGTTATGGAACTGCCAGTTACCATGAGCTAAGACCAAGAGACCAGGCCCCTTTATATAGGCTTCCCATTACAGAGAAGGGGCTCCCAGTAGTACTGTCATAACTCACCTTAAGAAACAGGCCTTCCCTGTCTCCTGGCAAAAGGCTGTGTTTCACCACAAACACACCTATCTCTGGCTGACACAAAAGTCAGGATGCACCTGTAACACCAGACTGCAGTGTCAGCCTTCTGCTCTAAGGCCGCAGCTTGGTGGCAGAGGGGGCCCTTGAGGAACAAGTGCCAGGAGCACAAGAAGATTTATCTGAGCCTTCCACATCTGGCCCATGTCCCAGAGGCAACCAGGAATTACCAAGCAGCCAACAGCTCACAGAACCTCAGAGTCAGGAGTGTGCTTTCAGCCCCTTTCCAGCTGGACATATTTATTGAGTGTCACACTCAGAGGAGCACAAGGAGCTGGGGAATCAAGGGATTTACCAGAGACGCACAGTTTGTGCAACTTGCATAATCCAGTGAACTTTCATCTACTTCTCACTCATGTTTGAGCAAATAAAGTATGTAGAAATCTCTCAAGAGAAAACTGACAATAAGCCAAAGAAAATGGCATTTAAATATCCTTACAGGGCTTGTAAAGTTGTGCCAGCTCTCCCAGCTGACTTTCCTTGGTTATTCTGCTAAAGGGAAAGAACAGCAGGGAGTGATGCTAAACAGTGGCACCTCAAGGACAATGCTAACAGAGATACCTAAAAGCTTGTGGCAACCCACAGCAGGGGAACACATGGGACAGGTTGTTCCCAGACTACAATTTCACCTACCAGTAGCACTCCAGATAATCTTTGATCCCTTTGAAGCTAAACCCATTCCTAGCAGAATCAGACCTGCAAAGAGAGGATTAAAGGAACAACAGTGAACCATCAAAGCCACCTCTGTTTAGACCTTAGATTTCAGCATCACCATCCAATGTATGTTTGGGTATCACTCACTCACAGCACACCATCTGGACAGCTGGCCTATGCATGGCAGCTAACACTGTCAGACTCTTTGCACATGTGCCAGACACCACGTACGCTAAAGGTGCCACAGAAATAAGGGATCAGTCTTAGCAGCATGTTCTAGTTCTTTCATATTTCTACTGAAAGTCAGCAGTCATTAAACTGTTCAAAATGTGTTCCAGGTTTACATTTGCTACTCACCACTGCCATATTACAGAGTAGCTGAAATATACTCATAAACCTACTCCCAGGACCTCTGTCACAGTTAGATCCAGAGACAGCCAGCAGCACATACTGTGTGTGGTGTGGGAAAAGGCACTACGCAGCACACACAAGGATACACATCAGTGAACTGCTTAAAAACCAGATGGCTCTACCACTTAAGCAATAGACCATTTCTCATCACTCACTAACAAAGCTAATTTCTTGTGCACATTTTTCTTTTAAAACCTGCATTCCTTTTCCCTTCCAAGCAACCCTGGTGTTCTCTTTGAGATTCCTTGCAGGCAAGAAAAAGCACACCTGCAAACTCACTTAAAGGGATCTATACACTGGCTGGTCAACCACTAAGTGCATCTGCTCTAATAGTGCAAACAGGGCGCTGGCAAGGGCAGATTTTAGTCTCTCCCCAGCAGGCAGACTCCTGCAGCCTGGAGAATTTTCACATTGCATGTAATTACTGGTGATTTATAAGGTGCAAAAGGAAAGATGACTGACAGCACTATTTGTTTTGTAAAGTGGCCGGGCGTGGAAAAAAACCAAATCTAAACTACTGACAATGACAGCTTCCCACTAATATAACAGTGCCAACACGTGTATTCTTCTACTTCACTCTTACACAACACATACTGACCTTCCATCTATCAGCTGCTTGATAACATCTGAAGTGCTTTTAGCCTCAGACTTGTCTCCTGTAACCTCCGCAGCAACCTCCGGGATAAACGTGGGATCTTCATGAATGTCAAGTGAACGCATAAGAGAGAAGTTGTTCAGTCTGAAAGAGAGAGAGTCACTGCCAGAGTCTACAATCTCTACCATGACTAATTTTTCAGACTGTTCAGAAGGAACCTTACCCAAGAACACTTTGTGTTAGCAGTCTGCTTTCACAGCAGGGAGTGGTAACAGTTTCAACAGCTACAAGCTAATCTCTCTTACATCTTTCCTAAAGGCAGCGTCAAATCTATTCTGCTTGCTTAACAAAGCCTCCTACCTCTTGACATAAGACCAGCCAGCCTCTGTAAACCCAAGATGGGAAAAAAATGGCAAAATTTTTCAATTGACTTTAATTGGACATATCATACACAGACCAATAAAGATAGGGATGAAGAGGAAAATAAAAAGGGAAAGTAGTATAAGCCATACATTCAACCACTAATCCTGTTAAAACAAGAACCTCTTCAGACTTTTCCATGACCTGCTTCAACATAGTTTGTTTGCAACCAAATACAAAGGGATTGCAGCATAAATCCATAGCTTGGAACACATAAAGTGAGGAAATTAAGACCCTGTCACAGATGTCGAGGAATGATCTGATGTATAACAGCAGCGACACTTGTCTGGGTTTGATTCACTCATAAAGCCCATATCCAAATAAAATTCGGAGGTAACACATTTCTCAGTGTCCTGGGATCTGCACAGATGACCCTTAAAGTGATGGGCAAACTATGGGAACCAAGTGTGAGCCTGGGGTTCCTGACACCTCTTACCTGATAGGCTCTTTGTACAATGCACACTTGAAAGCAGTTTCTGAACAAAAACGTAAGTGTGAAAGAGGAAAGGCTGACCTAAAATAGTGAACATCTTTAAAAAGGACTAAAATCTCTGAACTTTATGTCTGGCCTCATTTCCCCACTATTACTATTCTTTTACCGCTATTGGTGATAAACACAGCATATTTGCACATCCACGGCCTTTGAAAGAAAGACTGTCCTTTAACAAAAGAGCAAAGGCAAAAAGACACAAAGGCAAACAAAAGGCAAAGAGGCAAGCTGACTAATACAGTTTCTGTGCACCTGCCTGAGCATGAAAAAAGGTTAATTTCTTCTGATAAAAACCCACTCAAATGAGAATAGTTAAAAAAATAATCTAGTAAACAACATCTATGAAATAATCTTCCTCACTCTCCAATCAAGTTATGCAGCTTTCCTCTTAGAAAATGTCATGTCAGATAACCTAAAAGCTGTGTGCAATCTGAGTACCTTAAACCAAAAAATGAAAAAAGAAAAAAAAAAAAAAAGAAACCTGCAGGAGGGCAAAAACTCCCCAGTCTTACCTCATTAAGAACGGCAATATGCAGATCTGTCCAAAAGCCTAGAAAAAAAGTAAGTAGAAATGTTGGTTTGCAGCAACTTTGACCTGAACACCTTCTTCACTAGACAGGGAATGCTGAACATGCTCACAATTACTGCAGGCTTGCAGCACCCTAGAGAGCATGCAATGCCAAGCAGTAAAGAAACAGCACAAACACTTGTACTTCACACCACAAAAATGGCCTAAAAGGCTTTCTCCCACCTCTCATGTTTATATAATGAGTGTATCCTTCTGGCTCTCCTGCTTTTGTCTTTTCCCAATTCAGCAGGAAAGCCTGCATCTGAAGGCTGCAACACTGTTAAGAAGCATCTATATAGCTCCCATCCATTACTTTTCTCATGTTGCACAGACTATGCAAATATTGGATAAGGCAGAAGCTTATTATTTTATTTATCACAGTGTTAGGTTCTTTCCTGTCTCTCAACCAGTTCCTGCAATAAAACGAGTCAACTTGGAAAAGCATGAGATATTTAGAAACTTTATGGTAGCAGATGGCTGAAAACATTCTTTGAATACTCTGATTCTGAGTGGAAGCACCAGCAGTTCCAAAGAGACCAGCCTGGTTCCAGCCAGGCTGGAACCTGTCTTAATAGCTCAACAATGGACTTCAAAAACATGTTATGGGATGTACAAATACAGTGTAAGCCTGATGCAAGGCTCACACAGCTAGACCCACGAAGTGGTATGTTACCTCACACATTGCATAAGAATTACAGCATCTTTTTTGAAAATGCATTGTTCCTAATCTACATCTAAACTAAAAGCATAATCCTGTAGGAAATTGAGAATCTCAGGTCCCGCCTCCAAAGGAGATGTCAGGAAATGAAGCAAGCCTCTTTACCATGCCACAAAGCAAAGCATAACAAGGTATTCTGATCGTTATATCTTGGAAGAAAGACACTTGTAAGGTATTCCCACAAACAAACACAGCCTACTCCTAGCTTTCATTCCATGCCCAGCCGGACACCAAGCTCTGTAACAGATCACACTGCTGAAACAAACTGTCATGCCTATCTTGATACTGGCTCAAAAGGCCAAGCAGCAGCAATAAAATCCATCTGCTTTCAGATAGAAGCTGCTGCAAGGTGGGCAGTGCCCAGGGGCCGCAGGCTTTTCTCACCTCTCACCCTGACACAGAGCGCTCCCGCCTCCTCTGCACCTACTAAAGTGGGGATCAACCCGCAGGCTCCCAAACTCGCCCGAGGAGAGCACCCGGGGGTCAGCCGCCTTCAGCACCCTCCTAAAAACCCCGCTCAGAGAGCTGAAGGGCCCAAACCCCTTGACGTCCAAGGAAAGCTGGCGGCAGCTGTATTTCGAGTTTGATACCGACTTTGGACTCTCCGCACCCAAAGACACACATGACACCGAGCCAAAGGCCCGCGCTCTCAGTCCCCACGGTATCACATCTGGGGGACACAGGGTGAACACGAGAGCACGCAGAGCGCCACAACCTCCCAGCGAACGCGGGTTTTGCCTCCGCGGCGAACCCCCGGCAGCCTCGGCCCCGCCGGGTTCTCCCCGAGCTCCACCGCCGTGTTTGCCCGGCCCGGACTCACCGTGTTGGCCACATGGACGAAGAGGCGCAGCCCGGCGCCGCACAGCCGCGGGGCCCACTGCGGAGAGGAGGTGAGAGAGAGAGGTGAGCGCCGGACCCCGCTGTCCCACTCCCGCCCCGCTCCCGCCCCCCCGGCCCGGCCCGGCGCTCACGATGTCCCGGGGCGGGCTCGGTGCCCCGGCCCGGCGCGGCTCCCGGCGGATCAGCAGGGCCCCCGCGCTGCCCGTGTGCCGCCGCACGCAGCACAGGTACGCGGCGGCGGCGGCCGCCAGCAGCGGCAGTAGCAGCAGCAGCAGCGACGGCGCCATCGCTGTCCTCCCACCGAGCCCTCCGGCTGCCGGGGCGGTGCTCGGGCTCGCCCCGCCCGCGCCCCGCCCTCGGCCGCGGGGAGGAGGCGGGAGCCGCGCGGTGGTGCCAGTGCCTGTGTCCCGCCATGTCCCGCTTCCTACAGGCGCTTCGGCGCTCGGGCAGGGCCCCGGCGGGGGGGCCGGGCGTGCAGGAGGCGGACGTGTCCCAGTGGGGTCTGACAGGTCAGCGGGATGCCCGGGGGAAGGGGTGGGGAGGGAGCGCTGGGCTGGTGCTGTCAGACGATGGCGGGAGGCGGCGGAGGGGCCCGGCGCTGCCTGGTGCGGCTCAGCTCATAGAACCATGAAATGGTTTGGGTTGCAAACAGACCTTGAAGATCATCTCGTTCCAACCCCCTTGTCGTGGGCAAGGACACCTTCAGCTACACCAGGTTGCTCAGAGCCCCATCCAGCCTGGCCTTGAACACCTCCAGGGATGGGGCACCCACAGCTTCTTTGGGCAACCTGTTCCAGTGCCTCACCACTTTTACTGTAAAAAAACAATTTCCTAATACCTAATCTAAACCTATCCTCTTTCAGTTTGAACCAGCTCCCTCTTGTCCTGTCACTACATGCTCTTGTACACAGGCTTGCCCGAACTTTCCTGTAAGTTCCCTTTGGGTACTGAAAGGCTGCAATTAGGTCACCCTGCAGCCTTCTCTTTTCCAGGCTGAACAATCCCAGGTCTCTCAGCTGTAGTGATCTGGGCTCTGTGCTAACAGCCCCCAGACCTGAAATAAATAAATGTGTAAATAAAGTGGTTCCCGGGCCTGTGAAAGCGAGATGGCATCGCTGCCGCAGAGATGGCATTGCTGCCATGCTCGCTCCTTTCGAGCCTTCCCCAGCTGCTGCAGTCACTCCCTCTTCGGCGTTGTGGCTAGGGGCTTAGCCCGGTTTTAACTCCTCCAGTGCCTCACCACAGCCTTAGACAGCTCTGTGCTTCGGGACGAGATCAACACGGGTTGCCCTGTTCAGCGACCTTGAAATGGGCTGATGGTGAGCATGAATGAAAATGCTTTCCACGGCCTGAAGGGTAAGATATTAAAGAGGAATGCCTGGGCTAGCCATCCCGCCTGCACATTTTCCTTAGCTGCGGAGAGTGTCTGTCTCAATCCCCATGCCAGTTTGGGTTTGTGTATCCTGCGGGCTGCTGAGTTGCCTCATGCACTCAGCGTGCACATCTTCCCAGAGAGGAAAGGGCCACAATGGCACAATACCCAGCACTTGAGTCTTGAAGAGGTCTTGAAGAGTTCTACGTGACTTGTTTTGTGCTTGTTTTAACATATTGTGCCCCATAATAAGGATTGCAAGGGTGGTAGTACCTAAAGTGACCTACAACTGAGGTCTGCCCTAACTTAAGTGCAGGAAAGCTGGAAAATGTTGAGAAATTATTATTATACAGTGCTAGATTGTTACAAACATTTCCAGTAGCCTGAAGCATGACCCTGGATCTAGTATTTAAGTAGGTATTTAAGAGTGGCTGGAGCTGAAAATCAAGCTGTCTTTTAGGAATGAAAAGTAGCAGCCTAATTATTAGATCAGGTTCCTGTTACAGGCCTTTGTAATGACTTGGGGTATTTTTGTGTGTACACATTTCTGAATAGGGTTTAATTTAACAGAATTGCTGTAAACACTTGTGTCTCTGCTCTCTAGGAGGGTACATTTCCTTTAAGGCAGATGTTTGGAAAGGTCTGCTCTGAGCAGGACCTGTTTCTAGTAGCTTCAAGGTATAACTGTGTATAGTGTATTGGATGACTGTGTAAATGTAACAAATCACTTTTATTCCCAGGCATTAAGCTTCGTCCCTATCAAGTAGAAGGTGTAAACTGGCTGGTACAATGCTGTGAAGTCCAGCATGGCTGTATCCTGGGTGATGAGATGGGTCTTGGGAAGACTTGTCAGGTATGTCTGCTTCTTCTTCTGGAAAATGATCTTTGCTTAACTTTTTTTTTTTAGCCCAGTGTTTCTGAAAAAGGAAAAGCACCCTAATGACTGGTCAGTTAAGCAGTCCCATTCTGAATTCCATACTCAAACAAGAGAGTTCATTGTCTTTTTCATTCCTTAACCACTTAAAACAAGTCCTGAGTTAGGTCCTGAGTAACACTTCAAAGAGGTTTCAAGGTTTTATAAAAAGATGAGTGGTCATTTTATACAAACACCTCATAGTGCCCAGAGCTGAAGGCACAGTGCACATCCAGTACAGGGAAAATTGTGTCCTTTTGATGCACCTGTACCAAGATGATATTTGAATTCATTAACACATGAATTAAAATTTATAGGTGTGAGTTTTTTGGATTTTTTTTTTAATAAGTTTTTCAATGGCTTTAAGTTTTGTTGGAAAATGATTGTTTGTGCTTTGGTTCAGCTGATTTTGTTCAGTGGGTCTTAAATAACAAACTGGTAGTTTTAGAAAGTGATGCATGGCAGATCTGTTTTGTGACTGTGGGAAAAAGGTTTTGGAAAGGGGCTTCATATATCGAGGTCATGTACTGGGGCCTGATGTAAACCTTTTTGTCATTGATTGTGGATCCCACTTGATGTTCTGTTAATTTTGCTTTGTGCTACAGAACCTGTGGGAACTAGCTGCAAAGCTCAACAAGGAGACAGCTTATAAAGATTCAAGCTATCGGGTTGCACTCTTCCCTTGTTATAAAAAAAATATTTTTCCTGCCTTTTAGACTATTTCACTACTTCTTTATTTGACAAAAAAATTAACCAACAAAGAGAGATTTCTGATACTTTGTCCTCTGTCTGTTTTGAGCAACTGGAAGGAGGAACTGGAGAGGTAAGTTTCAACAGTTGTCTGGCTCATTATATTCTTGCTCAGCAAGTTACAAAGATTGTTTTCAAATGTGCTCACTCCAACACTTTCTTTTTATCCTTTCAAAGGGATAAAAAAGAGAAGCTGCTACTAAACCAACTAATCAATGCGGACTATGCAGTTAACGCATAGTCTTTACCATGCTGTGGTATACATGAATTCATCCATCCTATAATATTGGCTTCCTTACAGTCCAAATGCCTCCACTAGCTCCTTGCTTGTTATTGATTTGTAACCCTCCATGCTCAGCCTCTCTTAGGCAAAATCTGCTGAAGACAGCCAGGATTCTGTTTGATGAAAGGTAAGACCCAAGTTGGGGGGCATGCTCACGTGTGCACGCAAAATACATTACATATGTGCATGCAGACTGTCTTCACTGGGGTGCAGTGACTGTGCTGGTGGCATATCTGCTGTGCCTGGAATATGTACATTTTATGTCTGGAGCCCAAAGATTCCTTTTAAAAGGGCAGGAAGTCAAAGATTAGAACAGAAGTCTGTGTATGGGCCGTGGGGCAATGCTGTCTCTCAGCATCTGAAGTCACCCAGGTTACATTCTGAAGTGAGCTGGCCTGATTTGGATAGACTTTCGGGTGAAATAGTTGGGAGAAAGTGCATCCCTTCAGAGATAGCAGTGAACAGCTATCCAGAAGTAATATCAAGCAAATAACAGTGGGGGGATTAAATGAGGAAGAATTTTATGGTCCCAACTCTTTCTCCGTGGAACTGGGTTTATCTGCATTTTGACTAAGAGAATATATTTTTGAGGCCCTGACTTGGACCTGTTTGCTGCAGACATTGCTTGTTTTAGGCCAATTCTTTGGTCTCAGCTGGGCAAAATGTATTCATTCACCTGCTTCTCATGATCTTTTTTCAATTCTTGATAGCAGATGGGCCATGAGACTGGTTTTCAGCTGTCTACTTTGGACTCATTACCTAGGAGAATGCAGTTTTACTTGAGACTTGTCCAAACCAGAACCAGCAGCTGAGGTGCCAACCTGAGCTTCATTAATCATGGAGTGAGGTTCAAAAGCTGAGATCCAGGCACATCTCACAGGATGGTGGGGTGTTTGGATAGGAGTTCTCATCTGTGCAGTAGCTATGTTTTATAATTGGGGCCGAGTCAAAAACACGTGGAAATACTTAGCTGGGCTCGCTGGTTTTCCTCTCTCTTTCTCTTAACAACAGGTTGGCTCCGGGTCTTTCTTTCACAACGTACATAGGCAACAAGGAAGAGCGACCCAAACTGCAGCAGAAGCTGAAGGACTCTCACTTCCATGCACTCTTGACAACGTACGAAGTACGTGATGCCTTTGTCAGTTGAAAGGAGGACTCAAGCTTTTTCTTCTTTACCCTTCCAGTTCTCTTCCCCTCTCCCCCAGGGAGAGTGTGAGTGAGCAGTTGTGTGGTGCTTATTTAATGACCGGTGTTAAACCACGACATGCTGAAGGTGCCATGTAGTTGTCACATTATTTTCCTCAAGTAGTGAGTGCCTTCATTCCACTCTGCTCCATTTCACCATGGTCTGCAAGTAGACAAAAAGATGCTCTGTTTCTTAACTGGTGTGTTTACTTAAATCATAAATCATGGTTCGTTTTCTTGCGTTGCAGATTTGCCTGAGAGATGCAGCATTTCTAAAATCGTGAGTCTGGTTTTAATTTTTTCAAATTTAAATCTGCATATCTGTCAGTGATTTCTTAAATGTGTTTGTATTTGTGAGATCCTGTGCTTGTTTCACAAGAGCCAAGGATGTGCTTTGCTTGTGATTAGAGCTTTGCCTTCTCCAATTTTCAGTGAAGAATCTTTAATGTCAGCTAAAGTATATG